GGCACTAGGGAAGAACAGTGTTACCTTAGATTTGGTAGAGGGAAGTGATTGGAGGGGAGGAGATGTGGGAATAGGAAAGAGAGTAGAATGAAACAGATATTATTATTATATGTATATATATGTGACTGCATGACCAATATGATTCTGTAACATGTACACTCAGAAAAATAAGAAATTATATCCCATCTATGTATGATATATCAAAGTACATAAATGCATTCTACTGTCATGAATATAACTAATTAAAATAAATTTAAAAACTCCAATTTTAAAATGGACAAAGAATTTAAATACTTTTTTCTAAAGAAAATATACAAATGGTCAATAAACATATGAAAAGATGGTTAGCATCATTAATCATCAAGGAAACATAAACTAGAACTACAATGAGATAACACTTCATACTCACTTCATACAATGCTGAAAATATAAGACAGATAATAACAAAGTGTGGAAATCAATGATGTGATATAATGTAGAGAAATTGGAAATCTCATAACATTACCAATGGGAACACATAATGCAACTTTGGAAAACAGTCTATTCCTCCAAAAGTTAAACACAGCATTACTACCCAACAATGCTGCTACTAGATAGGCACCAAGAGGAACAAAAACCTTACTAATCCCATACTCAACCAGATATCCACAGAAGCATTTTTCATAGGAGTTAAAAATCTTTTGTAAATAACTTAAATGATCTATCAATGAAATATTGTTTGGCAATAAAGAAGAATGAAATACTATTCCACAATGCAGATGAACCTTGAAAACATTTTCACTGAAAGAAGCCAATCACAAATGATCATAATATGATTGCATTTACAATAAATATCCAGCATAAGCAATTTCATAAAGAGTGGGTTAGAAAGTGGGTTGGAAGTTCCCTATGTTTGGGATAAGGATTAGCAATAAGAAGTGGTTGCCCAAGGGTAAAGGGTTTCTTCCCAGAATATTCTGAAAATATTCTGAAATTAGGCTGCAGTGATGCTTGCACAATATCCTAAACACTGTAGAAGTGCTCATTTTAAATGGATGAGCATTATGGCATGTGAAATATATATTGATAGAGCCATAAAAATTAAGGGATAAAAAGAGGAAATACTATCTCCTCTTATCTGATCAGTTCTCAGCTTGCAATCTGCATTTCTTCTTGATTCCCTTTACTTTCTGCCTAACTCCTTTCCATAGATTACTAACTTCCCCTTCCATGATCATCAACTGCTGCTGTGCTGAGAGAACCAATCTGTATGTAACACCCAATCAGGGCCTATGTCCCCAAAGCTAAAGACTTTGCCACCCTCCCTTCAGAAAGCTTACCTAAGTAACTTAGACAATGAAGTAGCAGAATATATGTTTACTGTTATAAAACTATGGGGTAGAGATAGATGATAACAAAGAGTTATTGAACAGTTCTTGTGCTTCAGGCAAAATATGAGGTTCAATACCATTTATGTTACTTCAGCAAGTAGGCAGTTATTATCATGCTTGCTTTATATGTTCAATAAATATTTATTCACTAGACTGGCATCTATTCATAGATTGGCATGCACTATGTACCAGTCTATGCTGGTGATGTTGTAGTGAAATAGACAAAAAGACAAAAAGCCTAACCGATGGAGCTGATAGACAAAACAATGAAATAAATGAAATCTAAAAAATGTTAATAAGTGATAAGTACCATGGAGAAAAACAAAGCAGTAGATGATGAAAAGGGAACATGGATTGAGGAAGGAGATTTCAACTGAAAATATGTGGTCATGCAAAAGCCCCACTGAAGCCCCACATGCATAGGTGGGGAAGTGGGGGGCAAATGCAAAAGTTCTGAGGCAAGAATGTACCCAGCATGTTTATTAGGGAAGGGCAAGGAGTCGGAAGGCAGCAGCAGAATGCCCCTGTAGATAGTGAGTGAAGGCAGCTCAAGTGAGATGAAGAGGAGGCCTACTCCTCCTGGGGCCTTTGTGTTCTCCTGGAAGGAAGACAGGGAACCACAGCAGGTTTGAAGAGAAGAGAGTATAAAATGACACCCCCCCCCCCCCCCAAAAAAAAAAAAAACCTGATGGTTAGGGACTCCTCACACCTTGGGATCATGACCAATATTGATCTACAGATAAACATCTGATCCTAAAGGAAATGGACCAATCAATATTCATCCCCTCTCCAAAAGCTGAACTAAACAACTGGTTTAGTTTAGCTAGAGTGGGACCTTAAATGGGAAAGTGGCATATGGCAGGATTGGGATAACTGCTTTCCTGCCACTTTCAATATTAAAAATTTAAAGCCAACCTGCAAATTGATGCCACAGACCCACAGGGAGGAACAGAGGCAAAGTGAAGGGAGTGGAGAGGGAGAGGGAAAGAAAGAGAGAGAAACCTGTCATTGATCTCTTTATATGTTCTGATGTTCTTATGATTCCCAAGGACAAGTGATATATGGGAGACTTCTGTACTTTCCAGTAAATCTCCTTCTGCTTTGGCCTCTCTGTGGGTTTCTTATCCTTACAACCAAACATCCCTGGTTCACAGACAGGGTGAGCTTTCTTTTGTCATTCAAGTACTACATGAGACTAAAATGGGCATCTGTTCTAAGTACCACACAGCTTGAGTAACTCCTGTGAGAAAAAATGGGCCACCCAGAGGGGCAACCACACAGATGTTATGGCGTTCTATTCACCTCACCACGATGGCTCCATTTTCCCTTGGCTGTTGCTCAGAACATTATAAAATGTCCCATGTTAAAAAACAAAACAAAACAAAACAACAACAACCCAGCAAGGTGAACTCAATTATCTCACCTCTATTTTAGTTTCCTCCTGTGTCAATGCCATTACGAGAGCTTTTAGCATATTCTGAAAAGTTAAAAATTATATACTTGTGATACTAAGTTATTGTTGTTGTTGTTCTTTTTTTTTCTTGCCTTCCTTTTTTTTGTGGTGCTGGGGATTGAATCCAGGGTTTCACAAATGCCAGGCAAGTACTCTACCATTGAGCTACACCCCCAACCCTATTGTTACTCTTAAAATAAAGTCCATTAAACTGTGAAATACCTGGCTTTGGATTAATGAGGTTCTGGAAGGGGCATAGGCTCTCTTACCACAAGCAATCTGCAGTACTGTTCCTTATGGACAGCAGGGCTATAGCTAACTGCTGTCCTTCCCCCTGCCTCCTAATGGCAGCATGCCAGTCATCTGCCAAGTATATGTCCAATAAAAAATCAAGGATGAATGCATCTTGGTTAACTCTAGACCACATCTACCCTGAATGGCTGCTTCTAACTCTTAGGGACACAAGCAAACAAACTAGGGTCTCTGTCAGAGGATGAATCTGTCTGCCTTTTGCCCACAGCATTCAGAATGCATCCTGGTCAAGGTAAGCAACAGCCAGAAGATGGCTGCAGTGGTAAGCCACCATATAGGACCTCCAGAACTGCTCTTCTCCAGGTGGTCATCACAAAACCGCAGTACAAACTAGTATCCTACCTAAGCTACCAGTTTACCTCGAAGGGCAAGTGAAGACTTCAGTAGTTACAATTATTCACAATGTGCCACTCCTACGTAATCCAAAGACACGAACTAGTCAATCCTTCTGTCACTCTCAGTGACATCAAAGGACAATGGGGGATGTACTTTAAATGTTCTCTCCAGACCTCTGTGGAAACTGGGTGAACTGCAGGCATTTAAATGTTAGCCCTATATTCCACAGGTCACTCACCCTCTCCTTCACTCTAATAATAAATATAAACAAGGGAAATATCAGGTCATAGTCAAGCCTTATTTTTCATAGGAATTAAAGGTTGAAAAAAAATCACCATTTTTCACTGAAGCAGTTTCAAAATAAATCTTTCTTCATGACATGAATTTTAGTCTAATTTCATTGATAGTTTCATCTGATTTTTTTCAGCCCTTCAATCCAATCTCCCTACATTAAAAAATCACAACCCTGTTGCTCTGTTGTATATTTTTGTCAGAACCTGAAATCCTTTGGGGGGGCGGGGGGAATAAACACAATTCTCAATTACAATTTCAGAACCTATAATCATTGCAAATCACATAATGATTATTTGAATGCCTGTTTTGCCCTTTAGCCTGCAAGCTCAATGAGAGGGAATAAACCAACAACTGGATGAGCAGATGAATGAAAAAGCAAACTAGTTTACTGTTAAATTAGTCCAAGTGCACAAAGCTCTTAATGTGGCAGGGATACCAGAGTCCCTAGATGCCTGTAAAATTTCTGTTAGACAATAATCTCAGAAACTTCAGGGAATGGTATTCTGATCTATTAGGCCAGCTACTCACAGAAAAAGTTTATTTCTTATCTGTGAGTCTCACACAATGTAAATGGTAAGGGACAATGAATTCCACTATAAAATATATTTCCCAAATGAGATTTGATCTTAAAAGTCCATAAAGTTCTAAGAATCTAAGAATAAACTTTTAGTTTTTCCTCTTAAAATGCAGATTATTTTCATATAATTGTCCATATAAATGCAATTATACAAAATTGACTAATCAGAGGCTAGAAATATATATACTCCTTCTTCCCACATAGATGTTCACGTAGGATGAATGTATTCATCATATCATACATCATTCATGAACCATACATCTTAGGATGCATATATTTTTCATAACTTATTAACATCATTAAAATCAATGTAAGGAATGAACAAGAGAAAACCAGATGTTAAGAGGAAGTGACCTTGGTCCTTACTCCCCCTGAGCCAACTGCTCTATTTATCAGCACTTAACATTTCAGCATTTACTGATGCTGAATGTGATTCCACAAATGACTTTAGGTGTGAACTATGCGATAGACTTCACACCCTCTTTTGGGAGATCTATATTCTAATCTCCCAGAAAGGTACCACTGAAATTTATACCATAGTTTTCCAAGGGTAACCTTGTAAAGATCCCTTACATGCCCCCCCACTTTGTTGAACTATAGCTACAGGCTCAGGCCCAGCCAGTGTGGAGACTGTTGCAGTCATCCTGAATGCACTCACCAGGGTGACAATGGCACATTCGGCCGTCAGCTGAGCAGCACTAAACAGTGTTCGAACAAACCGGTATATCTGTTTCTGCTCTGGGTTATGTTTGTCATAATCTGGTGGCACTTCGGATTTCTGAGGAAGGAAATATTTTCAGATGATTGGTCACTCAATAGGAGCAAACAAAAAATAAACAATCTCATGAAATACACAGAGGAGATTACCGAAAGAGGATGAAGGTTTTCATCAAAAATATCTAAGAGCATCCTTCCATCTGGGTCCCTGGTGGGAAAAATAGTAGAAAAACAGAGTTTACTTTCTGCAAGAAAAAATATCATTAAAAATAAAACAAACACACATTTTGACTCAACTATTTCAAGAGACAGAAACAGTGCTAAATTTAAGAGATGCTTTTGGTTATTTGTGAATAATGAGTTGTTTCAAGTATTTTTGTTTAAAAAAATACATGTACATATAGGTCATGAACTGAAACATTTAGGTAAATGAAGCAAATATTTATATTTTCTGAATTTTCAAATGAACCAAATACAAGCAAAAGACTTAAAGTTCCTTTAACGTCTTATTTCTTTTTCTTTTTTCTTTTTAACATCTGAGCAAAGACTGACAGATCTAGGAAAGCCATTACCCTATGATGGTTGATGGGAAACAATTCCAGAATAACATTCATTGGGTCCTAGAGTTCAGTATAGGCAGTATTCACAACATGCAGTTTGGCAACTTCATTAAGTTTTCATAATTTTATGTTGAAAACACATTGAGTGAGTATGCACTCGTTTAAAAATCTTTTCTTTCTTTCTTTTTTTTGTTTTTGGTATGTGTGTGTGTGTGTGTGTGTGTGTGTGTGTGTGTGTGTGGTGATTAGAACCTAGGGTCTTGTGCCTGCAAGGCAAGCACTATACCAACTGAGCTATATGTCCAGCCCTTCACTTAATAATCTATAAACTTATAAAAGAATGAGTGGTTGTTACCAGGCTGGTAAATGCACAAGACCATCTAAAGTGCTGGTTTCACTATCTACACAGTGCCTCAGGCTGCTGGCCTCTGCAGGGACCACCTACATCTCACCAGTGACAGCTCACTTCATCTGTTTTATGTAATTTGAGTTCTGCCTAAAATTTTTTCTTTAAAAACCAAATTTGGAAATCAGTGCTTATGGGTTACAACATATAATTACCATATTCTGTGCTTCCAATGTCAGTTAGGCTTACGAACATTAGAAGGCTACAGATCTGTCCCTAACACACATTCAGCATGTCAAATATGACAGTTTTTGGTTTATAAATTTACCATCTGTATAAAAATAAAAAAGAAAGGGCTAACAAAATGGCTCAATTTCATTTCTGCATATGCATAATAGGCACTGTGTTAAACCCTGCATGTACCCACCTGCACCTGACAACATGAAAAGCATCATCAACTGAGACAGACTTCAGTGAAAGAAGGGTTCAACCTGATGGTGGAGTCTTGGAGCAGAAACAGCTCTTTCTGGGAGCAGCACCAGGCTCCGTACACTTCCAGCTATGAAGAACAAGCAACGTTCCATGCCTTCCTTATAGGTTTTTAAGACACAAAGCCTGGCCTACCCACCCACCATTTCCTCAGGCAGTCAAGGGCCCTGTTCAATTTTCCTGATGAATGAGAGCTCCTGAAAAGTCATCTAGCACTCTAGAGAGACAGTCCCCAAAAGTAATTTAAAAAATGAAAACAAAAATTTGAAATACAAATGAAGATGAAGAACATGAGCTAACTCTGGGGAGAAAACTGTATCCTCTTGAGAAGTAGACTATTTCATGTATTCTAGTTGAACAGCACCATCTCTCTCAAGCTAACGGATCTACCACTAGCACGACAGCTGTTCAACATCATTTACTGAGGAGGTCTGCATACAGTTGTGCCTCCCCTTTCCCAAAGACTGCAGGTTCTACTCTGCAGGTTAATACTGCTTATTCATAAATGTTCACTTTTTCAAGTGAACTTCCTCCACTTCCACTCAATTTTGGCCCAATTTCTCACCAATAATCTAGAAGAGCAAAACAAATACAGTTCAAGGTGGTAGACTGTTTGGGTTCAATTCTGAATTGTCCAATTTACTAGCTGTATCATCTAAAACTCATTATTTAATTTCTCTGTGCCTCAACTTCCTTACTTATAAAATGGAGACACTACCAATATTACCTCTTGGAGTTAATAAAACTCTAAAATGACATAATACATATAAAACAGACAATAGTAGTTTGAATAAACACTTCATAAAATTGGTTCTTACTATTATCAATTATGGCTAACTAAATTTGGGATCCATCAAAGTCTAAGAACCAATAAATATGAACTATGAGTATAGCTCAGTGATATAGTGTGTGTGCCCATCCCTGAGTTCAATCCCCAGCACAGGGAATAAAAAACCAAGAACTGAGAAATCTCTTAAGAGATGCTAATGCAAAATTAGTTTGAAAGCACATCTGAGTTTCACTAATGATACTGCATTGTTATTGAACGCTTAAATGTTTAAAAAAAGTTTGACCTTCTATCATAGAAATAACAAGACAAAATTTACACTTCCAGTTATTCTACTTCAAGAGTTCTAAGACTATTCCATTTGTTAAGTTCTTACATCCAAAATTCTCAAGCACCATATAGAACCATGATCACAATTACTATCTAGAAAATAAGTTACTCTAGAAAACACTTCCCCAGGTGTTTGCTTCAGTTTCCCAGAACACATTCAAGGGAAGCTCTTCCACACACCCTGCACTTCACCAGCTTCCCACAACTCTCCCTATTGAACAGGCTGAAGGTAATCTGCACCCACCAGCTGAGATCCATGCCTACCATATTGCTGCTCTGCTTGTTCCCAAACCAGTGCATACCAGTTGTACTTGCTATACTCTTATATGTAACTATTCCCTTAATCAATAAAATATGACTGCAGGAAGAGTGGCTTTATGCTTGTGCAAACTAAGAGGACACTTTAGGGAAACTCAATAAAAGAAAAATCACTGAAAATAAATTTGCTGTAGATTAGATGTGGTCAAAACCTAAAAGATTCTACGCTCAATGTTTTATGAATGTCTTTAAGGTTCTCACTTTCAAGAAAAAACAATTTGGAAAAGATAAATTATGAACAAGGCTAAAAGTCCCAAGCTTGAAGCAACAGTTTTTTGACATTTAATTTTTTTAAATTCACAAACATATGTGTTTTTACATGTTTAATGTTGAAATAAAATATTTAAGGTAGATTTTTATTTTATTCCCTATTTGAGCTGACTTTTTAATTTAACTGAATCACTGCCATACACTGGTATATCAGGACTCCTACAATTTATGCCTAAGCATACACCAAAATTTTCTTGACTGAATTCAAACTATAAATTTAGTTTTTTCATGTTAATGTTTATGGAAGAATTCTACATAATGCTTAAACATTATATAGAAAATAAAGAATGAAGAGGAAGCTGAATATTATCCAGTACTTTTGTTCCATTTTGCTGGTTTCAACCATAAACACCCATTTGGCTTCCTCTGATTCAGAAGTAGTTTAGTACTTACCTGCAAAGTTTTGGTAAATTATACTACTTTTAGAAATTCTATGAAAATATAAAAATATAATATTCAAAGATTGAAGCAATTAGAACATAATAGGAAACAACAGGAAAAATATAATATATGTGTGATGCTTTTAGTACCAAGTTAATCATACACATACCTGTTTTTGATGTGGTAATATATTGCAAGAGCTACACTGTAAAATAAAAGAGAGGAATTCAACATTTCATCATTGTATTCAAGCTTTCAGGTATTATCTACTATCAGTCTGAACATCAGTATTTAAATTTAAATAAAAGCCCAACAACCCATCTGAATAATGCCATTTCATTCAGAATGCTGCTCAACAGAATGCACTCTTCAAATTAAATCAGTCTGGTACTCATCCCCAGAAACTGTTAAATCTTTTCTAGAAACAACAGAACTTCAAGTGACATTTAGAAACAAACTGCTCTATAAGAAATTTTAAGCTTTTCTCACTTGCAAAATACAGGAATTATGTAAAAGACAGGTGGTACAAATTAACATCTTTAGAAATCTCCAAGTTATTCTGTACTGAGGTTTAAAAAATTGGTACTTTCTTTATAACTACCAGAAAAATGTATCACCTACAGCAGTTTGCTATTTTTTCTCTTAAATCAATAACCTCTTAAAAAACTACACATTTTATTCATTCACTTGCTAAAACGGCACTGTAACTTATTTGTAGCACTATCTTAAAATTGTACTCTAAAATTGAAAAGATGCAATTTAATAAATAATTGCATTCTCTTTTCCCTGAATTTTTCTCTTATAAAATATTTTTTGACAATTAAATATATTATATTCATCATATAAATTTGTATTCAGCATGAAAATTTTGGAAACTATAAGGAAATATAATACAGAAAACTATAAGAAAAAATAATCCCTTCGCCCAAAGACAACTGCTATTAGCTTGAGAAATGTAGTTAGCTATTTATATGTATGTAAACAAAAAAGTTTATTTTCCATTTTATCCTTTTCATGTTAAATTTTTTCTAATCATTAAAATATTCTTCAAAACCATGATTTTGAATGGCTGATTATATTTCATAATGTACTTAACCATGCCCCCTACCATTATACATCTGTTTCTCATATTCATCAATTACAATTAACACCATAGTAAACATCCTCACAGATAAATATTTATGCAATCTGTAACTATATTATTTCACAAGAAAACATCCAGTAATTGGAATTCCTTGGTCTACAGTCATTTTAATAATTGTAGGACTCCCAATACATACTGCCAAATATCTTTGCAGAAAACCTATATCAACACACCTCCCCACAAGTGTTTGTTTTATCTCACACTTGTTGACCCTCACCTTGAATGTTTTGGAAAAAAATATCTCCAACTGGATAGGAAAACAGTATTTTGATCATATATTCAAGTTGGCAGAATTATTCATATGTGAGTGGTACAAAGGATTGAACCCAGGGCCGTGCACACGCTAAGCAAGTGCTCTAGCACTGAGCTGTACCGGAGCACTAGCCAATCTTTTGTAATTCCCTTTTTTATAAACTGTCAAGATTCTTCCACTCTTTCTGCTTTACTTTAAAATGTACGAAGGCAGTCAAAAATTGTCTTTCTAAAAAGTTTTAAAACTTTTTAGCTAAAAAGAGCTAATTGGCTACATCAACCAATATAGTTTTCTCAAAGTTATAGATTTTTCAAAGCTTGAAACTTCCAAGCAGGGAACCAACATAGAGAGATGACTGCAGAGCCACCAGCTCAGAGATTTGAATATACATCTTGAATTCCAAAGTGCTTAGCTGTTTATCTACAGCCCCAAATGATGATAGCTAATCGTGCTCTAACACAAAACTTATATTCTTCCAAATCTCATTCTAGATCTATTCATTCAAATGTTTTGAGTAAGTATTAAAAGTACTCATGAGAAAATGGTGTCTCTTTCTCATAACATCTCCAAAGCATTTAAGTTGATGAGGGAATTGTAATTGGTGTGAAAGAGCTTCAGAAGCTTAAAAAAAAAAAAATAATGATTATTATTAGGTTCATAAAATGTTTTCACATATACTAATACCTCAGTCTTGTTATAGAAAATAGTGGATGTTACTGATCCTTTTTTTTTTTTTTAAATGAAAAAACTCAGTTTCAGAGAATAGATGCTAAGATTTCTGACTTAAATAATGGTTTTGTGCCCTTCTGTTCTACTATGTTGCCTCTTGGGGGGTTGGGGAGATACTGCTTTATTCATTTAACAGTCACACTGGGAGAACTGCTTTTATAATCTGATGTCAGATTTAAATGGAATGTTATATGACTGGGTTTATTGTAGTGATTAGTTTAATATCTTTGATTGATTAGAAAGAAAATGTTTCTTGATCTTGCTTGCAAGGGAACATGACACAGGAGAAATATATCCATGGACTAATGTCAGACAAACTTGGGTTCAAAACCCAAGGGCTAATTTACTTCTCCAGGCTTTCATTTCCTCACCTATAAAAATTAGGACAATACAACCCACATTACAGAATTGTTATTATGATCAAATGAAATGAAATAAAACAAAACATATTAAAAGCATTATCTCAAATATAAATTCATAAAATGAAAAGTTTTTATTATCATTCTTCCCTTATCAAAAGGTCTCTGGTTTGTGCAGAATGGTGAAACTCCTTATGTCAGGACTCCAAATAAACTCCTTAGGTCATCTCCAAAGATAAGACTGGGCATTATTAAGGCCTAACATATCCTGAGGAAAGAGCTGTTCTGTAGGCCAATTTCCATTCAAGGTTATATCTTGAAAAGTGAGGACACTGTGCAGAGGATTCACGCATAGTATAGCCCTACAGACCAGTTTAGCTAGTCTTTCTAAATGATGCAATTGCTGGGAAAAAGGGCAGCCAGTGGACAACCAGGTCAGTCTCAAGACTATAGGCTTCATTCCAAATGACCAGCTTCAACAGCCTGGTCAGTTCTGCCACAGCCTCAGAAAATGGTGAGATTTCACTAGAATGGCCTGGAGCCAACCTGGGAAACAAAAGTACATTTAGACTAAAGGTTTTGCTCAGCTCCTTTTGCCATATAGAAAGGAAGAAATGCTATTTTCGTTCCAAGAAAATAAAACAGATTTGTGATTGTTGGCATTGCCCTGCCTTATTTCTTTCCTAGAGCTAAGTTATTAGCAAACAATATGGCATTCCCAAGACCTCTTTAATCAAGAAGTTGTAGGTTCTATTAGCACAGAAGGGATTACAGTGGAGATGAAGGTGGCAGGTAATTATCTATTCTTTAACCCCCAGAGGCTAAAGGCCACAGACAACTTGGCTAGTTGTGTAAATGGGCTCTCTACCACCCTATACTCTTCTTTGATCATAATGCCTATAACTGTTACAAAATTTGGTGCAGAAGAGTTGGCTGGGGAAGCATGGAGTGTAGTTGGCAAACTTTAAATTCATACCACAGCTGTTGGTATTTAGGGCAAAGACAGACAAATCAAGTTCTCAAAATAAGAAATTATGCCTACAAAAATAATGAGATTGTTTGAGTGCCCAAACTTTTTATACTTTATGATGGTTATACCACCCTCAACTCTCCAACCTGAGCCTTATTAAAGTATGTAAATTGTTAATTTTTCCAATCCCCAATTTACAGATGGTTTGTCTTCCAAACATCAGTGAATGAACCAAAGGTTTGGAACTAAGAGCATACTCTCACAGAAACAAGGTCATAATTGGTGTGGGATGCAAGTTCAGCATACTGATGACCACAGTCAGAATGAACTACAGTATTAATGACTTTGTTATCAATTTTAATGTCAAAGACAGGGAGTAAGAGGGTCTTGAATTTAGGAAGGCAGAGAACGGAAAATAAGAGTTTTTGATTTGAGAAGTATAGAATAAGTTTTAAGCAAAACTGTAGATTGGGTTGGCATTCAGATCCTCTCCCTTCAGTGTGTCCCCTTCTTTGTACAGTATCAAAGGACCTGGCTGGAGAACTCAGCCAGATCTACTAACACCTGTTTATGTTTTTTACTCTTCAGCTCCTTAGCCATAAACAAAACAAGTGAGAGATGGTGGTTTTGCCAGAATAATTCTGATGGCACCACTTCAGTAAGGGCTCACCTACTCTGATCCCAAACATATATTTTAAGGATGCTTTTTAGAGAAACTGAACTACTGACTAAAGGAATTTCAAGTTTTGGAGGTGCAGAGATGTCTTTTGAGTCAGGGAAGTCACCGTTTCTACAGAGCCCTTGTCTCCAGTCACCTACCCCTAACTGTTCTTGCTTTCAGTTTCTTTTCCCTCTATTCATTAACCTGCAGTTAATGTTGGTGGGTGAGGGGAGGGCAACGGATCCCTTACACATCAGGAGTCCTCAACCTTCGCTGCCTATTATAATCTTCGTGGGAGGATGAAAAGTCTAGATACCCAGGCCACACTCCAGACTCCGGGATATGTACAGGACACATGGAAGGACATCAAATGTCAGTGTGCTTCTTAAGCTCCCAGTGCTGCCAAAGCTGGAACTAGTGACTCATTTACACACTTTTGTAACTTAGGTGCTTGCACTTTCCATACCTGAGGACTGAAATATAAATTGTCACCCAGTTTTCCCACCAGGTTCCCAAGTGTCCGTGTTGAGAATTGAGTCAGATCTACTTAACAATCTCAAGAGCTCCCACTGACCACCATTCTCCTCTACTCTGCCTCACTTCCTGGGAAAAGGATCTCAGTATTACAGGAAGGTGGGCAGCTTTCATTCTGGACTCTTCAGAGCTTAAGCAGGAGCCCAGAGCCAAATGGTACACAGATTTTTCAGGACTTCCCACTTTTCTCTCCCAAGTCCTAATCATTTAATCTAGAAAATACCTCCAAGAGGTACTATACTATTCATTTCCCAGTAGTAAGCTTCTGCTCAAGGGTAATGAGGGCTCTACCTTCTGTGTGCAAGGTCACACAGATAGCTTCACTGCATAGCTAGAATACGTCTCTTTCCAGCTTCAAGTGCTAACTGTTTGGGTTTATGCCCAGAATCCTTCTGGCAAAATCACCATCTCTCACTTGTTCTGGTTACGACCAAGGTGCTAAGGAGTAAAAACCATTCACCATGATTCTAAATGCTGGGGCAATGAGGGAAGAGGCTACATTTCCATTTACATCTTGGATGCATACAATCCTATAGGAGAGAAGGGAACTCTACATAATCAGGCACCTTCACTCAGTGGTCTTGTCTTCCACCTCCCACCCGGACTGGACTCTGTCCATGGAAGACGCTTACAATCTTCACTGTCTAACAGAAGCTGTGATTGCACGTGTGGTCCCATTCAGAATAGGGCTTCTAAATCTGAAAATGTGGTCATGGAAATAGCACCCTTCGTATTTAGAAACTGCAACATTTATTCCATATGCTAACATGAATTGTTGTTAAATGCATACTTTCTTAAACAAGTAGAGAGAAAATATCCCAGATTTTTCACAGTTGGGCTGCTGAGTACAGACATCAAGTTATCTGCGGTACCTGCTAAAGGTGGTTGTTCTCACAATGCTCAATAAGGTGGAGATCTTATAGCAAAGACCAGTATTCCCCTGGTTCTTAATGAGAAAACCAAAGCTTCCAAAGGGAAAGGATGAGACCCAAAGACTCTACTTTCTCCCTCTTAAACTCCATTCAAAATAATAAACTAAAAAAAACCCACATAGGACTGGGAATATAGCTCAGCTGGTAGAGTGCTTGGCTCATATGCAAAAGGCCCTGGGTTCGATCCCCAGCACCACAACACACACACACACACACACACACACACACACACACACACACAGAAAGATTCTACTCAAATCCTTTCTCTTAGCGAAAGTCAGATCTCCCAGCTCTGGCCAAGTACATTCTCATCGTACCAGGTGGGCTTCCTACTACAGCCCTGATTTTAAATTGGGACTACAGGAGCCATGTTTTAGTTAGAAGGTAAAATATTAGCAAAGATATGCCAGGATAGCGTCAATCAAAATGAAAGGGTAAAAAGTATACACAAAAATTAAAAAATATATACTAGGTTATGTACGTTTAAAATAATTTAAAATGTTAACCTTTGACATAAATAGTAAATTAGCTTCTCCTCCCCAGCCAATCTCATTACTCCAGATCCCATAACCAACCAGCTTAGCCATCAAATTAAGAAATAGAAAGGCATTCAGTTAGGCAAAAATCTGTATACCCACCATTTAATTGTATACTTGAGGTTTGGTTGACTGACTGTGCTATCATCTAGGAAAATAGTAGAGCAGGAGCTGTATTTCCTTGTAATTTGTCCAGGAGGATGCTAGAAAACAACAGCAACAAGACAAAGATAATTACAGAGAGCTATAAATTCTTCCAAGGAATATTGCCCCCTATTAAATGAGATCAGAACACAGAGAAAGAATGTCTTAGTGAGAAATGTTACCACCAAAAACAGAACAAAAAAAATTGATTATAAAATGAGTCTTCAGTTCTTTCACACATAAGTCTCCAACACCATTCCTAGCCCCAAACTTTCATGGGAGAACAGTAAACCTTTGCAATCAAAGAGTACCTTTCAGAGTCCATAAAATCATCTGCCTTGGGGCCTGAGTAAAACATGGAATGCACTGCTCACTATGTTAATGAAAGCCCATAACTGAGGTGGCAACTTATTTTATGCATTAAGATCAAGACGAGAATCCACTGTTGGGGTATAGTTGACTTATGAGCCAAGGAAATGCAGTCAAGGTTGATTTAGAATTTCCTTGCTAATCCACTTAAATTTTAGCAAGTTACAAAGAAATGTATATCTTTGATAGGAACAAAATGCATTTTGAAGGAGGAAATTATTTGAAACTTTGGAAATACAACCAGCTTATAACCTGTAGATAGTAAAAAGTGGTTCTTTCACAAATGTACAAGTTTTGAGTTCTGCAGAGAATTTTAGAATGGAGAACTACTTCTGAATAGTAATGATACAGAAAACAATTTTTAAAACTGTTTATTGATTGCACCTACTTGAATGCTAAGCGGACTTTGGATAACAATTTGGGAAGTACAATTAGTAGACATCTATTCTTGATGAGAAAGAATCATGCAAACAATTTCCTCTTGCCTGATTCTATATTGATGTTGTCAAGTATCCTCAGGAGTCATAAAATCGCCTGCCTGGCTTGCCTACCTCCAGCAAAACCCTCAGTTCATGAATTTAGTAAAGAAAATCTTAAGATCAATTAAAGACCAAATGCCCTGGTTCCAAATGCCAAAATACTTTGACATTGCCATTTACTTCCTATTTAATAGGTTTTCTCTGTAATAAAATTATGAAAATGTGCAGCAGCCTGAAAAATACATGAACAATATTATAATTTCCTCTCAAAACTAAATAATCAATGATAGTTACTATTTTGTATATCCAGTTCCTTAAAATACAGCTAGAGGGCACTGCATTACTGATGCATTATAACCCTGTGAACACTGGTTTTAACACAGGTCAGAAGGAAATAACCAGAGTCAGGAAATGGAAAAGATCAGGCTTATTCTCAGCTTCCCGCTTAAGCTTGCACTTTTATACATAATGAAAGGGCATGAAGAGAGTATAGACAGTTCAAATTATGACTTTAAATGTTAATTTTAACATGACATCTTTCATATCTATCAAATTAATCACAACATTCTCATTAAGACAATTCTAAAGAATTAATACAATTCTTCTTGCTTTAATTTCTTGATGCAATTACATAAGAAAAAAAATCAAATTCTAACAAAAGCTGTTAAAATGGGTGGCAAGCTTTAAAAATCTTAGGAAAATTTCTCCACAGAAACAAAATTTACTACAAACAATAATCCCCATAGATACAATGTTTGACACAAAAATCCAGTTATTAATTGATGTGTTTGTTAATGAATTTGTAGAAATATGGGATAATTTTAATAATCCCAACAATGAAGCAAAAAGACAGTATTTTATACTTTCATTTCTTGTGAGGTTTCAACTATTTCCTCTGATACAAATTCCTTTAACATTAAAATGTGATGGAACTTCAAAGAACAACCAGCTTCCCTAAGAAGACATAAGGCATGAAGTCAGAAGAAATAAGTGATTCACTTGGGTGAGCACAGTCTGCATCCTCATAATCTAAGAAATCAACATGTGACCTAAGGGGCAGAAACACCCCTCTACATGCACAGTCCTAAGGGTCAGAGGGTTAACTCAAACCAGTCACACCAAGGAACCCGCCCAGTCCTGGCCTCAGAATCACCCAGTTGTTCAGTTTCTGCATCCCAAAAAAAGGGCTAATGTAGCAAAGCCTTTATTTTCTAAGGAGACACCAACTCAGTTTTCAAACTATGTAACAGTTTCTAAATTTAATAAAACCATAAGGGTTAAGTTATAAAGTTTTCTGGTTTTCAGGGTGCCTCATCATGCACACAGCTTTGAAACTCTACAATGCAACAAGGAAGCATTATATGTTCACCAGGTGTACTGTAGTTGTTAAACTTTTTAAATTAGCACAGTGTGCTGGCTAGTGCTAGGTTTAGTCAAAATATTTTATTAACTCAGCTGTCCCATGATACTGAAAAATCGGTATGCTTGTACGTATATGTGAAACACACTAAGACCCTCCCACTGATTTTCTAATCTTCGCTAGTAGAAACAAACAACAACAACAAAAACAATTAAAAAAACTAAACAAAACAAAACAAAAAAACAGCACTAAGATCACCAGAGAAAAGCACAGCACGGAAGGTGCTAAAGCCACAACTCTTTTGTGCAAATCTAACCCACTGTAACTACCTGTGTGAACTGGGCAAGCTACTTAGCCTCCCCTCTCTGCACCTAAGTTTCCTTACCTGTAGAAGAAAGAGAAAAATAATAGCCCCTTCTATTACCGTGAGGGGTCATTATGAGGAGCACCTGAGCTAATATTTGTATATACTCAGAGCAGGGCTGCAACATAGGTTATAGATATTACATCTGCACTTAATAAGTAGGAAAAAATGTGTTAGTCATGTCAAAAAGAGTGATGGTAATGTTTTTATGCCTAATGTAATCATGTGTTAGAATATAAAAAAAATTCCCAAGACAATGTTTTATCAGAAAAGAATGGGCATACCAATACAGAGATGTCTATAGATCTATAGATACAGAGATTTCCCCAAGAAGGACAATCATCTTAATGAGAGAAAAATATCACAGAGACAAACATAACCTCCACTTAGAAGGGGAACAGGAAATAGTCTGTGAGAAGACCAATTATGGATCTTTCTAAAGAAATTAAAAAGTTTATGTATTTGAAATAATGTATATTTTACAACTTAAATTATGAATATGTTGAATAATAGAATTTTAGAGCAACACTGAAACAAGATTTTTTAGCCTACTTATTTACATAATGTCTCTAATACAAAATAGTTTTATTATTTACATCAAGATCCCCTAATACATAAAACCTGTTGGACTATATATTTAGTTGCCCAAATAAAATTAGAAAAATATGAGCCATCAGTGTTCTGGGTTGCTTTACATCAATTTATTTACAGCATATAAACACACCCTGCACAGCACATAGAATTCCCATTCTACAGACAGTCAAAGGAGGTCAAAGAAATGAGGTAACATTTCTAAGATCAAATCTAAGACACCTGAGCTCAAAGCTTCATTCACCTCACTCCTTCCTAACTGTAGTTCTTCACGAGTCTGTGCTCTCCAAAACTTTCCATACCATACCCCCAAATGTCTTTGTCCTTCCCTGACCTCACTCATCCTTCAGAACTCAGTCCTTCCCCAAGATGTGTTCCACCACAGGACCCATCTGGGCTGTGGGTCCCTCCTGTGTGTTCTGTGTGCGCCCTGGCTTGCCCTCCACAGCACTGATCACATTCCACTGTCATTTTCTGCCCATTCATGTATGTTCTGCCTACGGCCTAGACTCTAATGGTCTTGGAGGTACAAAGTGGATAGCTTCCTTAAATCAGCAATTGAGGAAAAGATCCATCCCTGGGACTGATGTGCTCATACTCCTGCCACCAACCCAGCAAGTCTGCTTCCATGATGGCAGCAGGGTCCTCTGTGAGGTGGTGATGACAGCGTGGTTACAGCAGCCACAACACAGCAGAAAGTGTGAGTGTGTCAAACAGCTGGTACATAGGAGTTCACTGAAAAGGCCTGTGCCATTGGGCTGTGAAATGCTGACATGCTCAGGCACACTGAAGTGCAACAGTGGCTGGCAGAACCAAGGAGCCAAAGGTAATGTGGTAAGACCCCATATACAGGCTGGGCAAGCATAGGGCTGGAGTCAGAGGGCCTAGTACCTAGGTTTAGTTCTGTCACTGATTAGCCATGTGAATTGGGCAAGTTACTCAAGCAGAACTCATATATGTTCTGGCTTGCTGGGGTTCATCCTAGTTTACCCTGTCTTCCTAGAACAGAAAGTAATAGCACACCCTTTCACATTCAAGTATCCTTGCTTGGGAAACAGAATACAAGGTCCCCTTAGGCTTAACCTAGTCAGTGTCCTCATTTGTGAAATAACAGAAATCAGAACCTACCCCTTACTATGATGCTGTAAAGACTACACAGGATAGTACTTATAAAATGCTCAGCACATACAGTGCTCAATAAACAAGGTTAGGCCACTGAGTAACACTCAAAAGAGTCTGTGTTTTAACGTGCCAGTTTCGGTAAATGAATGAAATGACCCAACTTGTTAGAGCTTGAGAAGACCAAATAAAAATTAAGCATCAAAAAATGAGGTAATATTATTAGAGGAAAGCAATTGGAAGGGCTAGGGATGTAGCTCAGTGGTAGGACACTTGCCTAGAATGTGCAAGGTACTGAGTTCCATCCCAAGTAATGCTAAAAAGAAAAATGAAAAGTGGTGAATTTTTTTTTTTTGGAAGCGCTATTAGTGAAATCTCTAAAAACGAAAATTCCATAACTTTTTCTGTTTAATCCTAATTGTAAGGAAGCAATTTATGAGCTTCATAGAAGACACAGGATTCTATCTGCAGCTTCTTTGGAGCACAAATGAAATCTGCACTAGAGTTCTTTTATTAAGAACTAACTTAAGGGCTAAAGGTGCAGAACATCATAGGCAAGAGCACAGGAGAAGTGGAGGAAGAGGCTGCTTCGCTCACCTTCTGCCACCTACTAAACACTCAATGTACAGTCTCCATGGAACCAAAAAAGGGACGTGTCTTTCCCTCATTTTACAAGAGTCTCTCTTTCTCATTCACATAGCTATTGTGGGGTAGAACTGAACTTGAGGACAGTCTGGCATTGTGAAGCCTACACAAACCCACTTGTCAGAAAGGGCA